TGAAAAACTATATCAAACTTCTAAAGACCTAGCTGAAGCAATTAATACAGCTGAAGAATAAAAAACTGACAAAAAGAGCTTTTGAATGATGAAATCAAAGCACAAGCATTAATGCTACAAAAAGCTGATAAATGCTTGAAGAAGAAATAGCAAAAAATACAAAATTGCAAGAGGAGTTGGAAGAGAAATCAAAAATGTTAGTAAAAAGTGAGGAAAGAGAAGAGGAACTAAATAGACAGTTATATTTGGAAAGAAAAGCCTTGCCTGCTCTACCTAAAAAACAAAATACTTTCCAAAAATTAGGTTCAAGAATTAAAACCAAGTTCCAAAAACTTCAACAATTGGTAGAAAATAAAAAACACCAAGCCCAAGAATTTACTGCTTAATAGAAGTAAAAGTTAATTGGTTTACTTTACTACTATGAGAGAATTACTTTACACTATTTTGGATTAGAAGAATGACATAGCAGTAATTCTACTTGCGTTTTTTGCTTTGGTTTAAAAAAAGCAGTGTGTCAAATCAGAACATGATTGAAAGTGATAAGGTTTATGAGAGTTGTAAAGAAAAGTTTGAAAATGATGAGTTGCCTAAGCGTGGTTGTGGAAGATTAAAGACTAGATACACTTGTGATTGTAAAGAAGAAGGAAATGAAAAGGAACTTCCTAAATTGCCTCAGGAAAGAGAGAGTATGTCTGCTTTTTATGAAAGACAAATAAACTCTTTATGAGAGGAATTAACCACTACTGAGGAAGCCTTAGAAATTGAAAGAGAAGAAGTAGCTAGGTTTCAGGAGAAGTCAGAAGAATGAAACAAGAGGCAAAAACAGGAACTGCTAGATAGAATAAAGGAGTTAGAAGCAAAGTGGAAAAATTGAAAAAAACTAACTTCACAGAAACTGGTTGATAAAGTAACTGCTTATGAAAAAGAAAGCAATGATTTAAGAACTCAATTAGCACAGCTACTACAACAAAATGGTCAATTAACTGCACAAATTGAGATTAAAGATACTAAGAAATGACCTGATTGAAAATAAGAAAGTAATTTTTGGTTATTTCCCTCTGTATAATTCCAATTATCAAAGAAAATGGTATTTATTTTCCTTTTAAAGATTTTTGCTTTTTGTTAGGTAATAATGCATCATCATGATGCTTTCTTTTTCCAACATTTATTATTTTTCTTTCTTCTTGGTAAATTTCATAGGTAATCTTTTCTTTTCTTAGATAAGCTTCCAGTGTCTGAGTATCATTTATTTTGAAAATGTAAGGTGCTATTTTTTCGCCTCGTTCTTTCTTCAAAATACTTCTGATAGTACTATAATTCTTGGGTTCCATAGTAGATCTGATATAAATTAACTTCATATTAATTATTTTTATATAGGGATAGTTCTATTATATCACTTAAGATAACAAATAGGATATTATAAAACTGTTAAATGTAATCACATTAATCACCTTACAAATAAGGTTGCGGGAGAAACTCCTCCAGAAATCAATCGACAGAGTTTCAACAGGTTACACATTAATTGTTTATTAGAGTTTTGGCAGAGTTTCACATTTGGGGTTTTTGCCAATCATCAGAGTTTTGACAGGTTACACATTAATTGTTCATTAGTTTCGACAGAGTTTCGACAGTCATTAAGAGGTTTCGCCCACAACCTTAGGTGTATGGCCCTGGGGTTTACCGAGACTGCATCAATCATCAATGACGTTTTCACTAATCTTCCCTCACAGCACCCTGACTGCTGCCCATGTTAGCTGAAAAGTTTCCTGCAATGATCTTACCTCTAGGGTAAGGATGGCTCTGTGACCATGTCACAACTCTGGAGTAATATTAAGAAAATCAGCAACTCGTTTCAAGCATTTGCAATTCAGAGTGGGATTGGTGACCTTGAAATTGCATTTAGGCTCTGATGTTGAGAGGAAAGCTGTAAAATAAAATGGTTCAGATTTGTTTGGTATGTTTTGTACAAATTAATCATTTTTCCAAGTTCTCATTTTTGTTTGACCAACTGAATTTGTTATTTAAATGGGGGTAGGGTTGTTGGTGAGTAGGCATGCCGCCAACAAGACAGCAACCCAGGACTCAAAACTGAATTCAGGGAAAATCCAAAAAAGCAACTCCCCAAGTTGCAGACACCAACTTTATTCTAGAGAGGGATATAACACAAAGCAACCATCACACAAATGCTGGTCCTCATCAGTAATCAATGTCCATATGGTAACAGCCAAGGCTGCTTTGAGGGGAAAATAAGAGAAATTTTGTCCAAAGCCTTCCAACATGTACGTGGCCTCACCTGTGGAAAAAAATTCCTTAGATATGAGGCGTGTGAAAGCACCTTAATGCATGTTTGTGATAGGAAATTTTACTAAAATCTGACACCTATGATCAACATCAGATTTATTATTCATGAGCAACCATGATTGATAATCAGGAAGAGTAATTTATTATTCTGAATCCCAGAGATCTGGGTAGACACACATTATTAAAAGTTCATTTATGCATGGCCTTGGTGTTATTACTATCTGGGTGATGCAATTGTTTATTATGTCAATGATGATATCAAATGTATTGAATAATCATTGTGATGAATATGAGGACAAAGGAATTCACACATGAGGAAAGTATTAAATAGCAATATCATGTTTATTTATTTATTTTTTATTTTAACCAAGATACATAATTATATAATTAGATTGAAAAAAATGCAAGTAAAAAATTGCAAGAGTGATTGTATGGAAATCCAAGACTGGACCAATCACACCATTACATGTTCAAGGCCAATCAAGCAATTATTTGAATACATTGGTACACTTTTGTAATCTTATTGAAGGGGATAGGTTTGTATGCAATTTAAATTCTTTTGTGTTAATTTAGAATCACATCTTTCTTTTGCTCTTGTAGGTAGCATTTTACAAATCAAGTTATTTACCTTAATGTAATAATCATTATATCAAATTAATTTGTAACTTAGGATTTCAAAAATTGGTATAATTGTTTTACAATAATAATATTTTCTATGTTTATACAATGTGTTGGAAAAATTCATTGGTAAAGGCAATCAATTTTTTATTAACTTGTTATTGATGAAGTAAAATATTACAAATATTCATTTATTGCTTTGCTTTTTAAGTTGTCTTTTCCCATTTTGATTATTGGTGATGATAAGCCAATTTAAATCTAGGCCATAATTATTTTTCATGTGAGGTTGACCAAATTTTCCAATTTCTCTTCACAAGTTACTGAACAATCGTATCTTTTAAATCATTTACCTAAAACTATTCCATTGGTTCATCTAAGTTTAATTCCATTCATATACTTTCCTTCAATTTTAAAACAATTATAAAAAACTACAAAGTGAACATAAAATTATAAAATTATATATATAGGGATAGGTGTATATGGAAAATAATAATAAGTATAATGGTTCTAATGAATATCAAAAAGCAATTGATTTTTTAGAAAAAGGATGTAATTGTGGTTGTTCTTCAATGGTTCTCAAAGAAGAATTTGCAGCATTAAGGGAATCCTTTCAAGCTCTTTCTAAAGTAGAGCAAGACATATTTTTAATGGCCCAACTTAAGGTACTGGATGGGGGATTAATAAGCACTAGCAGACGCCTTAAAAAGAGAACTAGATCTAATAAAAGAACTTTCTACCATTGAGATCACAATACACCCCTCTGTCAAGAAACTTATCTCAATATGTTAGGAATTGGCAGAACTTATTTTGAAAACATTAGAAATCATTTGATAAACAATGGTCTTTTACAAAGAATTCATGGTAATATTAAAAGAATGCCTCAATGGAAAACTAAGATGGTGATTGATAAAAATGTTGCAGAAGTATAGTTGGCTTGGTCTAAAGACCTCCTAAATTTTGGGCAAATTTTAAAAGTATAGAAGTCATTTTCTGTCCTACCT